CCGGCCGTTCAATTAGAGAAAATAAGGTACTTGTTTTATTAAAAACATTTTTACAATGCCAGACTTGTATTACAAATTAATATAAATTTTATAGAAAAACATGTTTATAGTCCTTGATTTAAGCTTATTTCATAATAAAATTATTTTCGATAAAGTTGTGCAAACAAAAATATTTTTAGTGTCCATTTGGTCAATTTTATTGTTATTTTATATAAATATATTAAAAATAGACAAGGCAAGGCTGTTTTTTAATTGAAAGGCAACAAAGCTAAATAAAAATAATCGGTTTAGGACAAAATAATATTAAAAGCTTGTTTTGTTACTTTAAACCGATCCACTTAAAAATTATTTTTGGAATAAAACGTAATATAAATTATAAATTTATTTTAATAATTTTATCATTTTATTATTAAAACTTTAGTAATATTTTTTAAATATTATTAAACAAAAATATATTTTGTGGGTCTACGTCCGGTGGTGGCTTCAGAGCTTTATCAAGATTTAAAAATCCTGGAGCCTTGATAGAGCGTTGCTCAATCGAGCTAACTACGCTCGCAGAGGTGGGTCGGAACAGTCAGAGGTGTCGGAAATCGGAACTGTCGGAAATCGGAAATGTCTCAAAAGTCGGAAATTGGAAATCGGAAATTAAAATTTATTTCAGAAATCGGAAGGAAAAAAACGTTGGAAATCGGAATTCCGACCCACCTCTGCTATAGAGCAAGCATATTTCTCCATCCGTGTCGGAGATTCTTAGATTATTAAATTCAAAAATGTATTGGCATGAGTTTTTGAGAATATTGTCAAAATTATTTCATATTTTCAGTTATTATTTAAATTGATAAGAAAAATGAATTTAAACAAAAATATTTATATAAATCCACTCATTGTTTTAATTTATTTTAATCTGTTTACACGTTCCGTTTTTGGTTGTCTACCTCCAGCTGGACAGTGTTGTTCCACTCCGACTTGTACTAATGCTCCACCATGTTCTTCCACTGGCCATTCTGGAAGGTATTTTATTTACGAACTAGTCAAGCGGCTCATTTAACTTCTTGGTCTTCCAAAAAATCCCAAAATTTTCGTCTTCTTACAAGATAAAATATTCCTCATAGATAATAATTGTTTTTGTTTAGTTACTCAGCTCCATATTCTAAAGATCATGGATCTCATGGAGGAAAGTATGGTGGTGGTGATTATGGTTATAGTATGGATAGTCATGAAGGGGGATATGATAAAGGATATAAGAAGAGCAAATATGGCGGCGGTGGGAAAGGATATGATTCTTATGGTGGAGACAGTTATGGAAAGGATAATTATGGAGGAGGAAGTTATGGAGATAGGTTTCTTTTAATAACTAAGCCAAAAATAAAAAAGAATATCTTCAGTTATAAAATGCCTTTACCTCCACCACCTCCACCTTCATACTCTTCATATGGCGGAACTGCTCCATATGCTCCTCCACCTCCCAGCTACTCATATCAACCTCCAGCACCTTCATATTCACCTCCTCCAGTATATCAACCACCACCACCTCCTCCAGCCTATCCGGCGCCTCCAGCTGCCTATCCAGCACCTCTTCCACCTCCTACATATCTCCCAGCAGCTCCAGCACTGCCTACACCCCCACCAATTTATCAATCTCCAACGGCCCCTCCAGCATATCCACTCCCTCCAATGCCTTCTACCATAGTTTATGCAACTCAACCCCTTTCGTCTCCCTCAACAACTTCGAATATAATTTCCCAACTTGCAAGTGAATATCCACAGATTATTGGAAATAAAATTATTGGTACAACAGCGCCTTCTCTTCAAGGGATTTACCAACCATTAAATGGGCAGTTTAAAGGGGGACTTGTTTCTAGTGGTGGATTGTCTGATTCTATTGGAAGGTTTGTACATTCATCTTAAATAGCCAATTGAGTTCCTAATTGACCCTTACTTCTCCCCCCCCCCAGATTAAGGTACCATTACCCTCTCCGATTAAGGTCCTTAAGGTCTTCCTCAACTATGATTAAGCCCCAAGTTTTTTTCCTTTGTATTAGAGAGTCCGTTCAATAGATATTGGCCCAGGTATGGTCTAACCTATGACTACAGAATAATACCAGGATAGAATAACATGCTTGTTACATTAGTAAATATAGTATACAAAAATATAAAAAAAGCTACGGACGGCTCATTTGCCGACCAAGACTCAACCCCTAACTGTGTGTCAGCCCCTAACTCTATTAACCTAATTTTATTTCCAGTTTGGACAACACAGGATTGTTAGCTTTACCTCCTTCTGTCTCCCCTCCACAAGATTTTTATTCTGGTCTTCAATCCTTAAATCCCTCAATTACTTCCTATCCTCCCAATGGCCCTTTCTTTATGAATTTGGCATCTGGAGGACCTCAACCTTTTAAAATTAAAAAGAAATTGGTTCTGCTAGACAAGGCAAAGGAAAAGAATGCTGTAGCAGCCGCAAAAACTTCAACAAAATTTGTAAAGGAAGCTAAAGCTATTAGTGATTTAGCTGTGAATACAAAGAAAAAGGTTCAGTCTGCTGCAATAACAAATTCAAAAATATAGGAAATCGTCGTTCAAAATCATTTTTCCGCCTTAAATTGTTCTTATTGTAAATATTAATCTTTTGATTATTTGATAAAACGCTAGAATATTTTCTTATACTGTACTATATAACAGGGATGAAGCCAACCGAATTTTAAAAAGCGAAAGACGAAAGGCGAAAGTCTTCACTGAAATTCAAAGTTATTGCAAAAAGTATAATGATCATTGGAACTATCTGGGATACCCATTCTATTTCCGAACCGAAATCTTATGATATCGGCTCCAAAACAAAATTTCTTTAAAGTATAATGAATTGACCAGTGACAGAGAGGTATTGAGAACAGAAGCCCAGTTCCACTAAATTTTTCGGCTAATCGAAACCGACCGAAATTTCGGTTAAATGAAACGAACAAATTTTCGTCTTTTAACATTTTTGTGAGTGATCGGCTTGATTAATCCCATTGTAAACGAGATTTCGCTTATCAAGAGTTTTTGATTAATATACAAGATTCGATTGGATTGAGGCTTAAAGTTCCCTGTGTCTAAGTTTATTAAATATTTTTAAATTTATCAATTCTATGATTTTTTTCATTTCCTAATAAAAATATTTACATTAAAATTTAAATATAAAAAATAAAAAGATTTAAATAATTATTAAAATTAAAATTATTTGATTGAACTTTTCTCTCAATAAAAATTTTTTATTTCGATTAAGGACAAAAAATTTGTCTGAAATTGAATTTTAAATAACGTTTATAAATACCAACTCTCCTTTGATTATTCCCCTTTCATTTTTTATCAAAAATTATGATCAAAATTTAATAAAGAATGAAGGGACCTATAGGAAGTTTTAAATGACTTTCTTGGATTTTTTGGACGGGATTTTCTGTATCGAAATCCGGAAAATCCGGTTTTATGAAAATAACCGAATTCCGGACCACCGGTTTTAAGTGAAAAATGACCATTTTGTGTCCAGTACACGACTTTCTTAAATACTCATCTATTAGCTCTACTTTTTAAATATTTTCGAAAGCGGGTATATATAAGATTTTTTAATTTTTCTTTTGATCACTTCAATTTTTTAATTTTAAAATTCTTTTATATTTAAAAAATGTTTTTATAAACGAATGCTTTTATTAAAAAGAATTTGTTGACAAACATTCATTCTTGACAACCAGGAAGAAAATTTAAGAAAATATTTTAAATGCTTTTTTAAGTTCAGTTGGAAATCCTATACACAATTTTCTAGTTGATTATTGTAAAGCATATAGCTATTAATTTCCTAAGGCTGAGCAGTAGGCGGCGTGGTGTAATGGCTAACACATAATTCCGGTCTACTGAAGATGCTGGTTCGCTCCCAGCCGCCGAATAACCTTTTGCAGTACGTAAAGGAGAGAAATAGCTATAGCCCAGCTGCTTTACTTTATGTACTAGATATCACTATTAATTATTCTGATAAGACTCCAGTTTAGATTTGAGGTCTACAATAGAGAGGTGAATCAACAAGATGAAAATATTTAAGAATTTTAAGACGTCTTTAAAAGCATTCCTTACTAATTTTTTAATTATTTTTAAACGTGTAATTCACCTCTCTGGTATTCTCCTTTTCAAAAATGAAAGAAATCTAAACACATTTTGGAATAAAAAATTTTTTTAACTTTTCATTTTCAATTTTTATTTCCCTTACTATTCGAAGGGAAAAGTTTTTATATTAAATTACGTGCTTTTCCTTTTGTCGAGTGGCAATATTTATTGAATAATAGAACAAATAATAATTTAAATCTTTTAATTTTTGATAAGCAAATAAAATGATAAGTTGTTGATTTTTAACTTTAACAATTTTCTTAAAAATTAGCTAAAAAAATTTTAAATTTCTTTTAAATAATGGAATCAACTTCCAAAACTACACACGAACGAGCACAATGGTCTAGCGATTGGCAATTTATACTTACTTGTATTGGATATGCTGTTGGTTTAGGAAGTAATTACTTAATTAAATTAAGAGGAGCAACTCAGACCTTTAGGGCAGATATTCTATTAATTAACACTAAATATTGAGGCTGGCATGTGAATGTTGAGGAAGGCCTGTGGACAGCTCCGGGGTGTTAGGGTTAATATTGAGGCTGCCAGATAGAAAGCTCAAGGCTGTTAGGGAAATTTACCTTTCAAGTTCAAAGTTTTCGGAGCCTGGATTCGACTCGAAAAGCCACAAGCTAGAGTTAAGCTTTAGAAATTTTGCCAAGAAATCGTTGGGATTGCTCCCACAAATTTAAAATTTTAATTAATTTTTAAAATATGCTCAGATTTATGGAGATTTCCCTCTCTGGCTTATGAACATGGAGGAGGTATTATTAAAAAACTTAGCTGAAAAAATTAAAAACTAAAAAGGTGCCTTTCTAATCCCTTATTTAATTTGCTCTTTTATTGTTGGATTGCCTCTTCTCCACCTTGAAATGTCACTCGGCCAGTTTAGTCAAAGCGGTACTGCTGTGGTTTATGGCAGGATTAGGCCGCTTTTTCATGGTTATTTATTTGATTAATGAAAATAAGTAATGTATAAGTCCATGACGGAAAAAATTCGAGTCTCGGGTCTGATCCGCGAGATGGATTTGTAGAAATTAGGAAGGATATCGGTGAGTTTGGTGGGCATAAGAGGGGATACATGGTCGGAGGGATTGGATTAATTAGAAAGGATATCGCTGGATTTGGAAGGCCTAAGACGATACGGTAGTTTAAGCGGGAAAAAAGCCTCTCAATCACTTGATAGCCTTAATAGTCTCTTAATAAATATACGAAAAAATACCGACGGTAGTAAGGCTATCTGACTTATGTATTAAAAATAATCTTAATAATATTTTCAGGAATTGGATGGAGTATGGTTCGTTTACTCTCAAAATTTTAACCATTTAATTTTTAAAGTCAGCAATGTCATTAATTGTTTCAGTTTATTATAATGTAAGGGTTTATTCAAATATTTATTTTAAAATTAATTTTAAGGTTATTCTTGCATGGGTATTAATCTACCTTTGGACTGTAAAAAATTTCCTAAAAACTATTTTAATTTTATTAATTTATAGATAGTAACAGGCCGTTCTGGAGAATGGGCTTCATGTAGAAATGATTACAATACTATCTGTAATAAATATAATTTTTCAAACTAAAGTCAAAGCTCATTAGACTAAAATCTTATCTTACCTCTTTATACACCTTGGGATTGACCTGAAAATTTAAATTAAGCTAACTCACTTGAATCCTATAGATTAATAAGATTAATAAGGATTATATGGGCGATCATGGGGGTTGGATAGAGTAAGGGGAATAATTTGGGAATATATCTAGGGAGGGATCAGGAGCAAATCATCTAATCACTCAATACCCTTACTGGTTATCGAGTGCTTAAAAAGAATCCCTCAATAATCCTTCAATACCCGGTACTGACCCGATCTGATACCTGAAACCATTTAATCTAAATTATCTAATGTCCCCGCCTGACACTGTTCCAATCTGACGGACTTCTTTAAACCTAAGCTCTTGATCCCACTTATCAAGTGGGATCACACACCCCTCTTGGGTATATTTTAAAGTGAGGTCTGATTATTCTTGCAGGGATTGAAGTGCCGATTTACTTAAAAAAATTTTGCTTACTAAATATTTTGCATATATTATTTAGATTGTCAATCTACAGTAGAAGACAGTCTTTGCATAGACGAATTTTCAGAAAAATCTCAAAATGATTTGGCATTTTATTTTAATAAAAGTTGTCATTTTTCCAATGATTCAATTACAAAAAATTTAAAAACTGAAACATTTAATAAATTGTCTGCAGTCAGTCCAGCAGAAGAATTTTTTGAGTTTGAATTTAATATAAAATAAAAGTTATATTTTTATCAAAGGAATTATGTTTTGGAAAAAACTTTAAAATTGGATCAATTTGGAGGAATTAATTTAAAAGTAGCTTTGGCATTAGCTATTGCTTGGACTCTTACAGGGCTAGTTTTGGTGAAGGGAGTTAAAATGATGGGAAAGTAAGAAAATTATTTATTAATTCATGAATATTGCTTTAAATTATGCCGATTCTTGACTAAGGATTTTTTGATTAGGTATCGGATAATGTAAGATTAAACCGACATACGTATAATGACTTTAATTGATATACGTCCTCACCCGACAATAATTTTTAAGCCATTTATCTTCTTTCTTTGATAAAGTTACCTCCAAATAGTTGGAGACCATCCCTAATAAGAAGTAAGATAGGAATGAGTTGATTAGTAAAACATCAAGGATAATTTTAGTCTTCAGATGAGGGTTTATAAAATTATAATCTGACATAATTTTGGGAGATCCTCTAATCAGTGGATATCCGGAACCTATTGAAAGGTGCCCACATCGAGTTAAAGATACTTAGAGACTTTAATCTCGATATGAAAAATTTTTATTAACGAGAGTTGACATACAAAATAATTATTTCAATTTATAATTCAAAGAATCTCTTACTTCACCGCAACCATTCCCTACGTTATAATTGTTATTCTTTTTATTCGAGGAATTACTTTAGACGGTGCTTCTATTGGATTAGACTATTATATATTTCATCCTGATTTTAGTGTTATACTTGACCCCGTGGTAAACTTTAATAATTAAATTTAAAAATAAATTTGAAAAAAGACTTGGAGGGCAGCAGCAACACAAGTATGCTATAGTCTTTCTGTTGGATTTGGAGGCATTTTGTCTTTATCTAGCTATAATCCAAGAACTCATAATTGTTATAGAGATGCTTTTATAATTACAATGGCCGATGGTTAGATACATTTAAGACCCACTATTAGATATCCACAGAATTACCACAAGTTAGGATACAGGGCCGGGATGGACTTGATAATGAATGAAGAATTGACCGACTTCCCCGGATATCGGTGATAATTTTCTTCAACTGCTTAATCCTAGGCCTTATCTGATCATTCTCCTATTCCTTTTCCATCCTTCCCTAGCTGGATTAATACTCACATTACAAAAATTGATAAAAATATGGTTAAACAATGAATGGGAGGCTAGCTATTATTTTAAGCCCTGAGAGTGTATCTTAGCAAGTCAGATATTAATTAAAATAATTCTGATAACTAAAAGGTTTTATGTCCATCTTTGGAGGGACTGCAGTTTTCTCAGTTTTGGGATTTATGAGCAAACAATTAAATGCAAAAATACAAACAGTTGTACAGAGTGGAACGGGACTTGCTTTTATTGCATATCCCGAGGTTTTTCAGATTAAAAAATTCTTAAGAATTTTTAAAGGCAATGAGTAGAATGCCTCTTCCCTGGCTTTGGTCGTTCCTATTCTTCTTAATGCTTTTCATTCTGGGAATTAGTTCTCAATTTGGATTAGCCGAAGTTATGATTACAGCCATTTATGACCAATTCCCTGCTGTTCGTCTTTATAGGGGTTGGCTGGCTGTTGGGGTTTGTGGATCTCTTTTCTTAGTCGGACTAATTATGTGTACAAGGGTAAGCTTTTATTTTACTTTTCAGTATCTGTGTACACATAAAAATAGATATTATAAAATTTATTAGCTAAGTAAATATAGCATTAAAAATAATCATCGCTCAACTTTCCAATAGTTCAACCTGGTTTTTTAAAACCTCGCCAAATCTGTTCTGAGGTTGTTGTTTAGCCAGAGCAGGGGTGAGCGCAAGAGGCAATCTCAAAAACACGACGCAAAACGCAATGCAAGGCTGAAATTTAACGCATATAACGCAAAACGCAATGCGCTCACTCCTAGTCCAGAGATATACTATGTACATAATACAAAGTTAAGAGAAAGTTTCAAAGATATAATAATCTATGAATATAATAATCTATGAAGTCTCAAGCTTAATTTTTGAGAATGTTCCGTCCGATATGAATTACTTGAAAATTATAAGAAATTTTTTTTATAGTCTGGAATATTTTTCTTTAACATATTCAATGATTATTCTGCTTCATTTTCTCTATTGTTAATGGTTATATTAGAAATTATTTTAATTATCTACATTTATGGTTATTTTACCAATTAAAAAATAATTTAATTAAAAAATTCAAGGCCTTCCAAATTTTTTGGACGATTTGCGTTCGATGTTTGGTTATCCACGTACTTGGTTAGGAAGAATATTTGGTCCTACTGGTTATTATATTCAAGGGATTTGGTGCTTTTTGGCACCTCTTCAGATTACCGTAATTTTTAAATTAATTTTTCATTATACTCCAAGTCCGCAACCTATATCCGCAAGTTTTTATTTTTATATTCTTAAGAGGATGATTATTAAAGATAAGATAATATTTTCTATGAAAATTTTTTACGATCACAGAAATTTATTTTTGAAATCCGCCATAATTTAGCATCATATATTGGAGATATAACTTGCGGACAATCTCGATTGATCTCATAATAAAATAAACACTCTGAGCCAAAAAATATATCTTATACTGTGAGTTCCTTTACTAGTACATAGTTATATCGTTTAAACAATTCCCCTAAACAGCCAAATGTTGAAAAACTTAGTTCAAAATGAAATGTGTTTATTTTTAAATAATCTTGGTTATGTAAATAGTATTGGGTGTAGTAAAAATGAATTCCAACTGTTACTAATCCTATTTAAAATTTCAAAAAGATATTATTCATTGTTGTATTATTCACTCAAATTTCACACAATTTAACTTATGGAAAAGACAAAAGGCTTTATGAATATCCAGGTTGGGCAATTGGTTTAGGCTGGCTAATATCAATTATACCAATTCTATTATTGCCAATAATGGCTGTTTACAATTTGTTAAAATTTAGACAAAAGAGAAAGGTACAGGGGCTCGACACTTGCGGCCCGACATTTGTTGTCCAAAGAGGAGTAATAGAACCTAAAATCCAGAATAAAATGAAAGTTATTCTTCTGCATGTTCTCCAAATCATAGTGCCTATGTTACACTTCTTTCCAAAGAACGGAGGAAAACTTAGATCCCTTGGTAATCATTTTTACAAGAGATTTTTTGTATCGAAACAGCTCTGTCATAAAATATGTCTTGTAAGGTGGTGGGTCGGTGGGTAAGGTATGGTCCACCACCATATTAGTTGTGGGTCGCAAATGTCGAAAAGCGAGAGTGCCATTTCGCTTAATAAAAAAATTATTTTTAAAAAGCATTGGAAGGAATTATTTAAATTACAACCAAAATGGCCTTCATATGAAAAAAGAAATGTAATGGAAAAACCCTTCTGCCATTTATTATCAAAATTGGGGCCAACCACTTCTAGTAGAGTCGAACCTATTAATGGAGATAATAACAGGATAAATAATTCAAAAATAAAAGAAGAAATAAAAGAAGGAATTCAAAATAAAATTTATTCAGTTCATTTCTGAGCGATTCCAATAATTACTTTTTTGTAATAATTTTGACTATTTAAATTTTCAATTTTAAAAATTGTAGAATTTTATAATAATACTAGATAAAATTTAAAAATAATACCTTTCGGTATCGGAAGGTAATATTAATTATTTATGAAAAAACATTTTGTCCAATAACTTTAAGATTTTTGTTCATAATTTTATAGCATAAAGCTCTTTACAGCGTTTTCACTTTTTATTTTTCTGAAAGTAAAATCATGGAAAAATTTAGTTACTATTGTTTTAAAAAAATTATTGTTTAAATAATTAAATAAATTAGAGAATAATAAATGAAGGAGATAGATGTGAAAATATTATTTTAATAAATCATTTTAAATATCCTTCAAAATTTTTAGATAACTTTTCAAAAATTAGCTTAAAAATATTTTATTATCTAAAATAATTAATTTTTAGTATATTTTTAAATACATACCAAACTTCATTGTCGAATAAATGAAGTCTATGCACGTTGTTAATTCCACATTTTTTCGAATCCCTTCTTTATCTTTCTTTTCACTTTTTTCACACACACTAAAATAACACTTTGATGTATTTTAAAAGATAAAATATTTTCATTGTGTAAACATACTAATAATTGATGCCATGCATTTTAACTTTTTTGAAACTATCAAAAATAAGAAAATATTTTCTCTTCTTATAGTGCTTTTGGAGGAGCGAAAGGTAAATTTTAATATACATATTTTATTTTTTAAATTAAAAGTACCCTCAAAATATTTTTCTCCATCCTAAAATAAATAAATTTAAAAATTTTAAAATCTAAAAGATAACCATAGCCTTTTAAAAGAAAAGGTTATGGCCATAGCCTTTTAAAAGAAAAGGTTATGGTTAGACCTACACTCCGAAGACCTACACCGTGAATGCCAGTTGACTCTGAATCAGTTTATATACATCAATTATTTACATCAACAAAATTTTGATCAATATTAGGGGATAATGAGTGATTTCGGGACTAAGGTGTATATTGGTGGATTAAAAGAGTTTAAGGGGATATCAGGAGATTTAGAGGGATTAAAAGTGAAAATTAGCAATAAGAAATTGAATAAAAATAATTTTTTATATCTTCAGTTTTTAAATGTTTTCTCGATTTTTCATATCCGCAATTGTAAAATTAAATAAAATATATTACTCACACAATTTGTACTTTTTGTTGACATTTATCTTTTGAGTTAAATTCCTTTATTCGCCAAAAAAATTTTTTTAATAATTTTAATATACTTTGAATTTGAATATTTAATTTGTTCAGGTGACTATTTTTGGGTGAATAAATACTCTCTCAAAATTTAAATTTTATTTAAATAAACCTTTCATTTTAAAATAATTCCGAAAATAAAAATTAAAAATGTTTAATCGCCAAATCTTATTTTTGTTTTTGATTTTAGTTTTGGTTAGCGATATTTGTGCGGTACGTATTTAATAATTTGGGAAATAATTAATATCGGCAAATTGAGTTTTCTTTAATATCATTATTAGAGTTTCACCGGAAGTTCCGGTTCCGGTTCCGGTTCCGGAAAGTTCCGGTGTTTTTTTGGTTCCGGTTCCGGTTCCGGGAACCGGAACTTAAATTGGTTCCGGTTCCGGTTCCGGCTCCGGTTTACAAATCGGTTCCGGGCAAACCGGAACTTTTTTACACCCCTAAGGATTAGTTTTTTTAAGAAATATGGATTGGCCTTGCAATATTTTCCTCGATTGGCCTTCCAAAATTCTCAAAATTTTCGCCTGCGGCGCTTAAAAAGGAAGAATTTTGTATCCTTGGTTCACCTAAAATCCCAAAATTTTCGCCTGCGGCGCTTTGAAGGGAAGTTGTATGGTAAATCGAAGGATTTGGATGGATGAACGTGGATTTTGAGTTATATTATGTGAGTTCAAGGGGTTATAGGTAATATAGAGGGATTTGGGTGTGATGTCCAGGGAATGAGCTGTGCAAGTTAGATATCAGGGATTGAATAGCTGGGGATTTGGTCTTCCAAAACTTGGATTTTTTTTCGTTTCGATTAACAGAAGAATTTGGCAGAATTTAATCGAAAAATTTGGCGAAACCGCACCCCTACTTAAAAAAATATTTTTTAAAATGTGCTAGCAAAAATTTTTTTAAAAGTTCCGGTTCCGGTTCCGGTTCCGGGCCGGAACTTTGAAAAGTTCCGGTTCCGGTTCCGGGAACCGGAACTTAAATTGGATCCGGTTCCGGTTCCGGTTCCGGTCAAAATTTCGGTTCCGGTGAAACACTAATCATTATATTGTCGTTAACGTATTAACTGAAGAAATAAGTCTTAGTAAATTACCTTAGAAACTTTAATATAATGCTCGGGCATTCTATTCTTCAATTATACAGTAAAAGGCATTTTATTTGTATAAGGTGGACATTCAAATGGATAAGAAATATATTAGATATTTTATGTCAGTTAATTAGAGTACTAGCTAGAAAGTTGATCAAGATACGATGGTTCTTAAACTTTTATCTAATAATTAAAATTCTTGACGAGATCTCGATATATTAAAGAGTAAAGCCAATACGAAAATCTTAAAAAGTTTACTAACGAATTCATCATAACTCTGGTCTTATCTCTATTCGAATAATTTTTAATATTCTTAATAAATATTTCAGTTTTATTTTCCTTGGCATGCTCGTAAAAATAATGAGAAATCTTCGAGTAGTTCGTCGGAAGAAAATCATGGCTGGTGGCATCCTCGTTGGCGATCTTTTGAAAGAGGAGGACATGGTGCTAGACATCACCACAAACACAAACATACATCTACATCATTTCCGGCTTCTACAGGCACAGTCTCCCCACCATCAACAACAACCTGAAATTTATATGAAATTAGACGTTCAATTATGAATAATTTTTAGATAGAATTTAAAACAAGAATAAAATAATTTTAAATATTATACGATTAAAATTAAGCGGTATATTGTAACTATACCCTTTGGAGTTATGAATAAATTTGTAATTTAAAATTTCCGCATATTTTATTATTTTATTCCGCATATTTATTATTATTATTATTTTCCGCGTTTTAAAAAATTTTAAATAAATGTAAATTTTACAAAATAAGGTTAAGAAATTTTAATCGTTTATATACATAATTAAAGATATATAAAAATATATATAATAATATATGATTATTTATATATAATTCATATAAATAATAATATATAAATAATTAAACCACCACAGACGAAAATTTTTGAGTTTCAGAAGGCCAAATTTTGGAATATTCTTCTTATAAAAAATTTTTTAAAATAAAGAGGAAATCTCAAAAATTTATCCTTTCTTTCAGCTCTAACTTTCTTCATTCCTTTTGTATATCCTCTAACTATTTAATTTAAATATAGGCATTAATGATTTTCACATGACAACCAGGCCTATCTATAAAGTCGCTAGTTTTTTAAAGAAAATTGCGAAATCATATGCTCGACAGGATTTGGCTCAAATTAGATCAAGTATTTAGCTCAGCTACCGTAATTCGACCCTTCATATTCTCATTCAGCATTAACAGTCTCTCTCAGTCTCTTTCGAATTCTCTGATTATGGCAAATCGCTTTGCATCATGTAATAAAAATATTTTTTAGATTGATGGGACGCGATCTGCTCATCTCCCTTTGAGTGGGATTTTTCTAGCTCATATTACTATATAGGTCAAAAGATTAACTTTTGTGAGCTACAAAAGTTTATATAAGCATACCTATTATGAGAGCTACTACCAAATTATATTATATGTATTATTCTTATGATAAGCAATTTTTCAGTTACTGTCTTTATAATATTATTCCGCGGACACTATCACAGTCAGGGAAAACAATTAGGAATGATCTTGTAGAGGTGTTATATAGTTGCCCTGGATCTATCAATAAGCACTTTGCGTATATATACGTTTTACTTTAAGCCAGGCTAGCAGAAAACGGAATTTGTCTATAAACCCATTCCTTTACACCATAAAATTAAAAATTTTTTAAATTTTAGTTAAGATCTTGAATTTCCAGGCATTCAAAAATGCCAAAATCATTCAACTTTCTGATCCTTTTAACTTTTATTTTAATTCTACTTTCAAGTTCAAATGGAGGGTCAGGGCGTGGTGGACGTAGAGGAAATGTTGCACGTGGTGGCTCTTCAGGTTCTAGGCATGCTGGATCTCCAGGTGTTGGTGAAACTAGTGTCGGATCTTCAAGTTCAAGTCGTAGTGGACGTGGTGAGGCTTCGAGTGCAGGTCGTGTTGGACCTTCAATTAGCAATGCAGAGCAAGAACGTATTCTTGAAGGACTGATTATAGACTATGCTAAATCGACAAATCTTGATGAATACAGAAAATATTACAATTGTGCAATTGATATGGAAAATCGTATTAAACGGAAAAATAATGATATTTCTAATAAGGTTTGAAAAAAAAGTTTCCTTCCATCCTAGCAAATAAAGCAAAAATTAAAACGATCAGTTGGTATTGGGGTGGTTGATTGGTTTTTAGAACATCCAGGATAAGTCCTATTAAATCTTTTGCTATTTCTGGGATGGTTTTAAATAATACATCAATTTTAATAATTTCAGAGTAAGAAAATTCTAGAAAAATTATTATCAAAATCAGGAATGTCGAAGAGTCAATTAAAATTGAAGATGAATGAAATGATTGATAATAAGACGGCTGTTAATGAG